TAAGTATCCTTTTTTTTTTTTGGAGAGTTTTTTGCTATAGGGCACATGCACTCGCCAGAAAGACAGACAGAGACAGAGAGACAGAGACAGAGAGAGAGAAAACAAGAAATCACCACCTGGAGGGATGGCCACACCACAATCTCTTCTCCTTCATTCTCCTCTGGGATCTTGGGCACGCACGCACACACGCCCAGTATGAGTTTAAGCTACCGGGTCCAGGACTCAAACTGCAGTCGGCTACATGGGAGTCCAGCAACAGCGCCATAACACCAACTGCTGGTCCCAAGTATCCTTTTTTAATCCTTTTCTTTGCCAGTAACTGTTTTTTAAATAGCTCGGTTAAAATTATGACTTTATGTACTAAATGCAACAAACTTAATCTTTTATAAAAGTATAACAAAGTACAGAAATCATGTCATGATTCATGAGGTTACTGCAATACTTACAGATATCTTAATGGGGGCAATTTATAAAGATATGAATCTTCAACAGTTGTCAGAGGATTACGAATGAGAACCCTGAAAAATGCAATGGAATTTAAATCGTCTGTATTTTCAATATGAATGATATTGCATGAAAGTTCATACTAGTATTTTTGGTATAGAACTGGTAGGTTAAAAAAGTCATTTTCTGTTATACCTACAAATCACCCTTAGAATTCATAAAGTGCTCTTGCTTTGAGAACTAACTAAATCTCTAGGTGATAAGTAGAAAAGAGAAAGAGAAAAAAAATGGTAGGAGAAAAAAGTGGCTAGCAAAGAAAAATATGCCAAAGAAGTAACTACACTAGCAGGAAGTCCTTGCATTGTAGGAAACATCATTTTTAGTGTCCTCCATAACTCAAAGTGCTTGTCTCTCATCTTTAGCCATCTTTTTTTTTTTTTATAGCTTTTTTTTTTTATTATTATTATAAATTTTTTTTCTTTTCTCATCACAACACACATATGAATTTTCCATCCAAAATACACTGTGCATTGGCTCAATCAAGCACATCAACATATATGTTCTCAGCAAATGATTTCCCAATTTTTGTGTCCTGCATACCTTGCCTTTTGTTTTGCCATCCTAGGTTCCCCATCCCCACCCTCTGCCATGTCCCATCTTCCTCCTCCATTGTCCCTGACATTCATGATTGCCCTCAATGGCTTCCGCCCCCCCCCATTCAATTGTTCTACCAATGAACTCAATTAGTCTAAGTATATCCACTAGCTAGCACAGCTGACATATCCTTACACATGTATCCAAATCTGATCCTAGGCATAAACCCCAGGGAGTAGAATGAACATATTATAAAGTAGACCCCAGTTGTGTCCATACAACTCTCTTCAGTCATCAAATGTGCATTTTTTTCCTCCTGCTTATTATTTTTTTTATATTAAATTATATTGCCTAACACTCATTCCCTGAGTATCATCACAACACACCAAGTGTAGTTTCCCATCTAGGATAAACTGCATAGTGTCTCAATCAAGCATGTCGTCACCAATACTGTTCCATTTCTACTTTCATACATATAAATATGTTTTTTATCCTATGTTTGACCCTCAGCCCTTTCCCCCTCTCCCAATTACTCTATCTCTGCTATAGACAGCTATCCTCCAGAGGGGTCATTGAAAATGCGATACCTGCGAGTAGAGGGAGAGGGGCCAGGAGTCCAAAGTTTTTAACAATAGGGAAAATAGATTCCATTCAAGGTTGGATCAAGTGTGGGTCTCGTGCAGTTCCGCAACTGTAGGTGAGTCTCCATGGAATACAGTCTCCGGAAGGCAGTTCTGGCAAGCAGAGTTGACCATCAGTTGATGCGGCACAGCAGCCATCTTGTGGTTAGCAGGA